GTGTTAAAGCTGTTCTGAATAGGAAAGAAAACTGAAATATTTGCATCTAATATATTAAATTGGATATTATACTTTGAGTTTTGTATGTGTTATTCTATTTTCTTGCTGAATTATTTTCCAGAATCCCAAAATTTATTTTTCTACGTTGACGGCCATTATTTGGAATGGATTCAATCTAACTTCTGATAATGTCCTTATTTTAAAACTCCTGCTTTGGTGGCCTCTGTGACCTGATGGATCCAGCTGGTTATGGGCATTGCCACCTCCATGTCATGCTTTAGGGCATTCAGCTGGTCACCCCATTCCTCAGACCAGGCTCTCCTTCGAGTTTCCTTATTTCCATCCTCATTGCTCTGTTCCTCCCAGAAGAGCTCCTTTTGCCCCGTGTCTTTTCTAATGCTTTGTGGGACTTCATTGACATGTTTCTGAACCTTCCTCAAGACCTGTCTTTTTTGGACCTGTGTTCCTTCCTGTGTGTCTCAGTGATTGAAAGCTTCTAGAATTGTGCTGAAATATGACTTATATTGCTTTGCTCACCATTTACCTCTACTTCCAAGTGCTTAATGTCCATTATGGAACAAGAGTGACTATGCCATCTTCTTGTGGCCCCAGCATGAGCTGATGTGGAACCAGTGGTCAGGCTCCCTGGGGCTGGGGTTATCTTGGTTGGGGGGGCACTTTCCAATGTGGAAATCATGCTTCTGTTTAGCCTCTGTTCCCAAAGGCTGCCCGTAGTTTGTCTAAAGATCTTTTTTCTCCATGATGGCCCTCGCTAACAGGAAACAGAGCTGTATTTCCCTAAGGTTGAATTCCCCACGTGGAACCAGATTTACCAAATAAAATTGTTTCAGTTAATATTTCTAGCCAACCAAGATGTTTATACAAACAAGCACAAAATTTCTTCTGACTCAGCTATAATATCTTCTATATTTTATAACATTCCTGGCAAATTTTAAGATATTGTTGATTGAATCAACCTTATTTTGCTTATAATGAATCAGAAAATATGAAATAAAATACTCAAAAGGCACATTTCAAGAATTTCCCAGAACCATTTCTATAGATACAGTATGTCCTTGGATGGGGCATGAAAAGTATTTTGTGCCCAGATAATCACACCATAAATTATGTTCACTAATAAAATTTCCAAAAAGGAACCAAATGGATGCTTCAGTGAGCAGTGCATTTTCCAGGGGTGCCTGATGGAAAAGCAGTCCTCAGCACTGGCTGATTCCCCCGAGCATGTAAGTCCATCTGGTCATGGGCTCACTACTCTGCAGGTTTCTGAAAAGCAACACCTAGTTGCTTCTAAGATGTGGTTCACCTCCGTTTTCCTTGGTGACTTCTCATGATCTCCGCTGACCTACTGGACAACACAGCAAGAAATCAAATCACTGTCATTTTCTTCTTGACAATTTCCAAGTTGGAGTCAGAGTGAAAGCTTCTCTATGTAAACCATGTGATGCATAGTTGGATTTTATTTATGTGTTTGTGTATTTGCTGAGCAAAATCTAGAGTATATGGAATAAGACAAGACTTAAAAGGAACAAATTAAAAATTTTAAAAGAATCAGGTGGTGGTGTTATAAGAAATGCAGTGGCTGTTAATTGTTTTTGTGTATTAGAGATGAATTAAATATTTAGAGGTCTCCTGCATGGGCTGTCTTGCCAGCACCTGGATCAGTGCCTGACACAGAGATGCTCTTCAACCAGAGGGTGTTGGACGCACGGATCATTAGAGTGTTACTTCTGAAATCAAAACCAAATGCCTGCCCTAATGTCGGACTGTTCCAGGATCCAAACTTTGTTGTTTAAAATTCTTAACTTACAGACCAAAAAAAAAAAAAATCTAATTCTGGGTAAGTAAAGCCACAGGGAATTTACTGGAAGTACTTGGAGGCCTCGCAGAGTGGAGGGCAACTCAGGCAGCTGCTCCCCAGCTTCCCGGAGTGGGTTCTTGTGGTCTGGACAGCCCCAGAGACCATACACCAGCCTCCTGAACATTCACATGCCACACAGACAGCACCCAAGTGGGCACGGCCAGACCCAGTGCAGGACTCTGCAGCCTGGCCTCAGGGCGCAGCGGCTGTCCTGTACCGGGCTATGCACTGGCCACTGGCCATTGGCATGGCTCCCTACACCAGGGTTTCTGCACCGTGACCAGAGCACTCCTGCTAGGAGAGGGAGGTGTGCTGTACACACAAGGGCCAATTTCTTCCATCTCTCTCTTATCCAGGAAAATGATTTTGGCACCTACTGTGACGATCTGGACAGATAGGGTGATTACTTAAGCTTCTACCTCTCTCATCTGCTGTTTCAGGAAGCTGTGTTCAGCCTCGGAGGCCATGTAGGGAAAACACTTTTCTTGTAGGAAAATGGAGAAGGATCTAAAAAGGCACATTTTTGCATTTCTCTAGTACATCTGCAGAGATGCATGTGATTTTATTTATTTTTTAACAGTATTCTAATGCAATCACGTGGCAGCTTTTTTTTTTTTAAGATTTTACTTATTCATTCATGAGAGACACAGAGAGCGGCAGAGACATAGGCAGAGGGAGAAGCAGGCTCCGTGCAGGGAGCCCGATGTGGGACTCGATCTTGGAACTCCTGGAACCACTGAGCCACTCAGGCATCCCTGCATGTGGTTTTAAAAACATTTAATAGCACCTGGTAATGTCAGTAAGAGACCAATCACAAAATCCCATAGATGTTACCCTCATGCAGTAGATGGAGTGGCCAGAGAAGCTAAAATCTAGATAGTTTTCTGTTCATATCATAACCGTGGTTTATTATCTAAAAAGAAATTTATGAGTGTCTGTTATATGCCAGGCATTCTTTTAGCATTGGGAAAATAGTGGAAATAATAGCTAACATTTATGAAACACAGCCTGTATGGTCTGTATGTCACACTTTGCATGTCTAACTTTCGTCCTTGTGGCGGGCATGAGGCAGGTGTGGGTCCTCTGCAGCAGTGGGGCTCTGCCTCCAGCCTTCTGGCGTGGGAGCACGCTCTTCCCAGCTTCTCGGTGGTTTCCACCTGTTTGATGTCACATTTACAGTCATAAAATCCCTGTATGTTGTAATATGGAAAATCACTTTATAAGCAGAAAAGTACTATAGAGATTTTTATATCAAATATATTTGCTCAGTGCATTTTTTTCCTTTTGCTTTCTAAGGAGAAATGTGAAAGCAAAAGATTGTCATTTCTAGATGCCGCACGACAGCTCAGGGTGTGACCGTGAACACAGGCTCCAGTCTCTGTGGCTCCTCTTTAAAATGCGTGAGGACGGAGATTTAACTTGTCAGTGTTAATGTTCATTGAAGTATATTTAGGCTGGAGGATCCAGAAGAGGAATTTTTGTGCTATTTCTAGAGTATATTTTAAATTATGTGTGACTTTGTAGTGAAGGATAAAGTGTTTTCCATGTTTTACTCTATTTAACTCAAATTCATTGTCGTCTGAGGACCACTGAGTAGACAAGACTCACTTTGTTGTGATGCTGGAGTGTGATTACGCCATGAGACAGGCTTACTTTTAGACCTGTCTTTTTTTTTCTCCAAATATTAATTTAAATTCCAGTTGGTTAACATATGGTGTTGTATCAGTGCCAGGTGTACAATATAGTGACTCAACACTTCTTACATCACCCACTGCTCATCACGACAGGTGCTCTCCTTCATCCCCATCACCTGTTTCCCCCACCCCCTCCCATTCTGCTCTGGTGACCAGCAGTGTGTTCTCTGTAGCTGAGAGTCTGTTTCTTGGTTTGCCTCTCTCTCTCTTTTCCCCCCTTTGTTCATTTATTTTGTTTCTTAAACTCCACACGTGACTTTGATCATATATTTGTCTTTTTCTGACTGATTTCATTTAGCATAATACCCTCTACTTCCATCCACATCATTGCAAATGGAGCAAAAAGATTTCATTCTTTTTTATGGCTGAACAATATTCGACTGTATATATGGACCACATCTTCTTTATCCATTCTTCCGGCGATGGACTCTTAGGCTGTCTCCATAGTTTGCTCTTATAGATAGTGCTGCTGTAAACATCGGGGTGCAAGTCTCTTTGAATTAGTGTTTTCATGTTCTTTGGGTTAATACCTAGAAGTGCAATTCCTGGGTTGTAGGGTAGCTCTATATTTAACTTTTTGAGGACCCTCCATAGTGTTTTCCAGATGGCTTATTTAAATCACTGTTGCACAGATGGTGTGAGACTTCCATCTGCCCGGAGGCAGGGGTGCAGGCCAGTGGAGCAGCAGACCGTGTGCTTCTGAGTTCTGGGTCAGCCCCTCCTAACTGCGGGGTCTTCCCCACATGACTAGTGTGTTCCTCTGTCTTCTCATCTACCAAGTGGTTAAATGAGAAAACCCATGAAATGAATGAGGGCAGTTCTAGCAGGTGGAAAGCTCTAAATAGCAGCTGTTGTGTGACACAATTGTTAGATGCTAATGCTGTTAGATTGTGTCTCTCTCACTGTTAACACCACGTGTCTCCCCTGTCATTTCGAGCATTCACGGCATCCTCTCCTCTGTCACTGGGGGCGACATACACACCTTGTGGCTGTTTTCGGCTGCAGGAGCCTGGGCTCACTATCTGCTGAGATGGGGTCCTGCTGTGCTCAGAAACAAGCCAGGCACTTAGGCTGTCACTCCCCGTGCTTCAGCATCATCTTAAATAAAAGTTGGTGACAAAACTGAAAGAAGTGGAAAATGATTCCAGGTCTCGCACTGATTGCCAAAGAACACTTGAGGATGCTTACCAATGGCTTCGGTGCTCACAACCGAGACTGAAACCCTGATGAGGCTGATGTGGTTGTCCTGACTACGTTTAACAGGAGTGACCGCATGGGTAGCTCGGGCCCACCGAGCCCTGACGCCCTCCCTATCGCTCTGCCCTCTCTTCCGCATGTCCCACTGCTTTCTGGTCACACCCTCAGGCCCTCCGCGTGTGACTGCCTATGTGCTGCGTGCTCAGACCTCCCATATTTCCTCCCTCTAGTGTCCTCGTGTGACCAGGAGCAGCAGTCAGCCCTGGAAGAAGCCAGGCAGCCCAAGAATGACAACGTGGTGATCCCCGAGTGTGCCCATGGAGGCCTCTACAAACCGGTGCAGTGCCACCCCTCCACTGGCTACTGCTGGTGCGTCCTGGTGGACACTGGACGTCCCATCCCTGGCACGTCCACCAGGTAAGGCTGCTCCTGCGGGCCAAGGGAGGTGCAGGGCAGGGGATGGGGAAGGCTGGACCCCTGGGGGTGCCACTAACGTGGAGGCTCAGCCCTCAGACCTCACTGTGCTGCTGGATGGTGCTGGCCACACGCTCATGTCCCCGTGCCAGGATGCCTACACCCTGCAGGCTCTGGCTGTTGGAAGCTGGAGGAAACTGTCTCTCTGATGGCCACCAGGAGCTGCCTGTGTGAGTGCCTGTAGGAGAGGTGCAGGCTGATGTCTTTAGGCAGTGTTTGCTCCTGTCATGATTCATACAGGCTGGCACGTGACCACTGGCTCTGAACCCTGCATGGTGGGTGCTCAGAAGGTGCCCATATCAACTGCAGCCTCCTTATGCTTCTGGTTTTAGCAAAGGGAGCCAAGCATTTCACAAGCTGAAAGAACCGATCACCAAAATTGGCTTTCTACAGCATAAAAATAAAGATGGTGTGCTAGAGGCAAGAGCAACAATCGCCGTGCAAGGTCTGAGATACAAAAAATGTATCCACTCCTATTTTGTGTGAGTTTGGGCAAAGCACACAGTTACATAATCACACCTGAACCACTCATGGAATTTATAAAACCTGCATGAAGATGTCTTTGCAGTACTTTGTTATATGAATTGATCCTTGAATTTTCATAGATTGATATAAAATGATTTGCAAATGTACAAAAATATTATCTCTTAAAAGTTATCAAATTTAACCCCTGGTTTCATCTCTAGCACCTACGCATGAGCATTTTGACACTTCCTAAATTATTTCCCCCAATTTTTCAAGTGTGATCATGAGACTTTTAGAGGAGGAAACACTCCTCTAAATAGCAGGTTCCAGGCAGCGAAGTCCAGGTAACCAGCAAATAAATGTCTTGTCAACATGAAGTCCACCCACACCTGGTCCCCCATCTGGCTCATTCAATAAAACCAGTCTCCTCGGGGTCCCTGCTTTGAGATTGGAATGACACAATGGGATTACAGCTGGTCCGTCCTTGGTGGCTGGCATGCCCCCGTGGAGGGTTGGCCTGCCTTCTGTGCTGTGCACGGCACAAAGTAGAGTCCAGATGAGGGTATCAGGCCAGAGACAGAGTCTCGGTGTCTCCGGGGTGCTAATGGAGATCATTTCACACAAGGGTGCTCTGCACGGCTTGAAGAGAACATAAATCTTTTTAAGATTTTGGTGTGAGAAATGTGTTTAGGTTCCTGTGCACATATGTATAGGGAGTATTGTTTTCTAAGAAATCTTTCTTCGGAAGCAGTATTTCTACCTTTAAAACCCTGCCTTGCTTACTATGTATTTAGGTTGAGCATTTGTTCCCCAGAAGGGAGCTTGGTTCCTGCCCTGCTGGCCCCTCGGCTGCACCTCCAGGTGTTGCTGGCAGATGCTTTCTTCAAACTAGCTGACAAAAACCCCCAGGCTGTCAAAACCAGAAGTCCTCAAATTGGCCCTTAAATGAGGAGATCAATGTTTATGATGTTATCCCTAAAGAACCTGTATACATTTTTATTACAACCAGACAAGAAACATAGTAACCCCTCTTCCTTCCCATCTGTCCTGATTTCTTTCTGCCCAGACTTTACACTGTCTTCACAAGCCCCAGGAAGAAGAGCATCACGTTCTCATCTTCCTGAAATCTGCCTACAGGAGAGAATAACTCACTCTTAGAGCTTTGAATTTCAAGAAACAATATTAGATTAAACCCAGTTAGGAAGACCCCTTAGACTACTGCTGCATTTTGTTCCATCTATTCATCCATCTGTCCATCCATCCTTCCATCCATTCATCCGTCCATCCTTCCATCTCTGTCTGTCCATCGATCGATCCATCCTTCTGTCCATCCATTCATCCATCTACCCTTCTGTCCATCTGTTCATCTGTCCATCCACCCAGCCATCTGTCTATCCATCCATTCATCCATCCATCCTTATGTCCATCTGTCCGTCCTTTCCATCCATTCTTCCATTCATCAATCCATGCATGCATGCATGCATGCATCCATCCATCCTTATATCTATCCATCCATCTGTCCATCTGTCCATCCATTCATCCATCTGTCCATCCATCATCCATCCATCTATCCTTCCACCCATGCATCCTTTCATCTATTCATACGTTCATCCTTCCATCTGCCCTTCCTTCCATCCATCCATCCATCCATCCATCTGTCCATCTGTCCGTCTGTCCATCCATCCTTCCATCCATCCTTCCAATGATGACAATCCCTTATTATTCTAGGGATTGAGGAAAGAGTGTTGACTAACAGAGCAGGTCTCATGCCTCAGGGGCTTCTCTCCTGCTTGGGGAATGTCAAGGAAGGAGCAAGTGGCACCACTTCCCAATGCAGCAAAAGGGAAGTCCTCACATCCTGCCAGCCTCAAAACTTAAAACTTGCACACCTCAAAGGCGAAGGGAGGTTCAGATTATCTCAGCAGTTCAAGGACATACTTTAATAAGCCATGTTTTGCTTCTCCCTGGTCTGCCATCTCCGACCTACCGGCTGGCTCTGTAACTCATCCCTGACAGTGTTTCTAGAAGCATCATTCAGCATAGCTGGTGCTTCCTTCTGACAGCAAGGACAGCCTTCCCCACAGACCCTCAGGTGGCCTCCTTCCCTTGAGTCAGCCACACTGTCATGCTCAGGCCAGGCCTACTGCTCACGGAGGAAGGGCCATCGTGGTTCCCATCTCTTGGAATCAGGCCTGGGACAGGGCCGCCCCCACCTCTGTCCCCTCACTGTTGTGCACACTGTTCTGGGGGTTGGAGATGTACAGGCAACAAAATGGACAAAAATCCATGCTTCCCTGGAGCTTATGTTCCAATGGAAGGAAACAGACTATGGGCAAATCACATGAGTAGGTGTGCCAAATGTAAGTAATTATGCTGGTGAACGACAAGTGCTGTGGAGGAAAACAAACCAGAATAGGGAGAATGAGTGCTGGGGAGGCCCAACTTGCATTCTGCCGAAAGCTGACCTTGGAGTCGAGTCCTGAAGATGCTCGGGTGGGGATGCAGGTGGGGGCAAGCTGATGGATGTCTGTGAGAGCACAGCCCAGACAGAGGCAGCGAGTGCTCCCTCACACAGGGGAGGTCCCTGAGCCAGAAGACGGTTGTTTTGGCTCAAAGGTAGGGTGTATCAATTAGGAACTTTTTCACTTCTGATAGTGGCAAATCTGACAAGTACACATAAACAAGGGACTATGTTACCTTGGGTAAGAATTACAGAGAACAAGAAAGCTCATTTCAGTTGACACTGTGGTTTGGTGATGTCATCAGGGACACAGCTGTCTTTGCCCTTGGACACTCTTCTCATGGTCGCAGGATGACTGCAGAGATCCAGGCATCTCATCCAGACACCACAGTGCTCAGAGAATACACAACCCATCTCTCTCTGTCTTCGGAAGCCAAATGACCTTCCCTACAAGTCCCCTAGCAAATTTAATATGTGGATTATTGGGCAGAACTGGATCATATGACCATGGCTAAACCCAGTACTGGCAAGATAAATGGAATTGGTTTAAATTGATCTTCTGGGAGGCATGGATATTGGGAAATCAGTCAAAATTAGAAACATTCAGGGATATCTGATAAGCTGCTGGCCAGCTTCACCAGCCCACACCTACACTGGTTCTCTGTTTAAATACCCTCTGTTGCATTATTCCTACTTTCTTATAATTTTCTGAGATAAAGCAGTTCTTCCAGGGAGACACTTTATAGTTTTGCTTTATATTTGGAGAGATGGTTCAGGTTTTTTCCCCCAATTATCCTATTTATATTCACTGATGGGAAAGAACAATTTAAAAATCCAACACAGAAAGAAGCCATAAATATAAAGCACATTGTCATTATAAGCCAGTTCCCTTTTGCTCCTGTTGCCAGGCAAGATCATTAAAACGCACAGACTTTGCTGTGGGCTGTGCTGAGGATGACAAACGTATGCTGTTTGCCTGCCAGGGTCAACGGCAGCTTCCTTCTAACATGGAGCTGCTAGCTGGCACGATCATCTGTAGAAACATCAGTTGGACCAGATGAGCAAGTCCATCTTGATTCTCTTGCTTTTTTGTGTCAAAGTTGACATGTTGGCCACAGTGTGCAGATTCCCTTCGGGCTGGAGCCCAGGCACCTGCATGGTCAAGTAGGATCCGGTCGGAGAGGGGCAGGTTCCAGCCCGGCTACCGTTTAGTGGGACGAGAGCTGATGTGGGCTAGCAGATCAAGCATGGAACAGGCCGATGGCAGCTACATTATCTCCCAGAACGGAGCAATTTCCCTTTCATGTTTGTGATGGCTGGTGAAAGTTCACCATCTGCCATTAGACTTCCAACTGCTCTCACCTCCCACTAGGGCTGCCCAGGTCCCCTGACGCCAGAGCCTGTCTCTCTCGGTAGCCGGATGCATGTGGCTACGTGAGCACGAAACCCCATTTCTCCCTGGCTGGAAGCCTGGTACTGATGGGCACACAGGCAGTCAAGAGATATTCATTCTTTTCATACAAATAAGTTCAACACTATTGAAAATAATGTGATGGATGTTGACACTGAGTCTGGATTTTTTTTTATTGGCATTAATCATATTTCTTGAGATGGCCATTTCTGCAAGGTAAGGCATTCCCCAGTATTATTTAAAATTAGAGACAGAATGCTGTCATTTAAATAGGCATTTTTACATCAGCATAGTGCTGGGATTCTTAAGGCATCCCCAGGTCAAATTTGGAACAAACCCAGAATGACCAATTTAATTTGTGTCCAGGTTGCTGCAAAGGTAAAGATTCACAGCGAGGGTTAGAAAGGACCCGCTCTCATCACTCATGTAAAGGACGGGGCACGGACTCCTAGCCCTTGGGTGGCTCCACACGGAGTTCGTGTTACCAGTTCGGCGTCTAACCCAGTGGAGCAGCCCGTGGCTTCCCTGAGCCACCTGCTCTGATATTCCTGCAAATGGGGTGTCCCCAGGAATAGCCCGGCTCTTGGGTTTCCCCCGGGAGTCCTGTCCTCATCCGTCAGGAGCTGGGACACCTGCTGGTCCTTTCACAGCTCCCATTTCACGGTACAAGTTCCAACTTCTTCCAACCCCAGGGACACTGACCCAGAGCCTGAGATGAAGACCTCAGTGGTGAAGGTTCTCCAAAGTTAGCACGTGTAGGTGAGAACAGGAGCGGTCCCTCGGTGAGCTGGCTGCGTCACACATTTCCTCTTGGTGAATGTTGAGCTCCCATCTACCTGTCACAGCCCCAGGCAGGAGAGGGTCACCCCGGTTGGGGAGTGGGTCCCCGCAGCCCTGCTCACATGCCCGTGACTTTGCTTCCTCTGCACTGCTTCAGTCTGCACTGAATCCCACCACGTTTCAAAAGAACATGAGTTGATGCCTTTTGGTGAGAACGTGGTGGCTTAACTTCTTGCCAGAGTGTCAGGGACTCTAATTTCAAAAACATCATTTCAGAAAGATGTGTTAGGTTTGTGGGAGTGCATGCTAGGTTCTCTGGCATCAAAGAGGCCACTCAGGGTAGGGGGGCTCGATGTCTCAGCTGCGTCTCAGCTGCTCCAGGTTGGCTGTGCAAGGACTGGCCACCAGGGAAGGACACTTCCAGTGTGTCCCTCGGGGAGACAGTTCTTGTCCTCTTGTTTCCTATGGTAGGAAGACAAAAAGTAAGGAAAAATAAGAATTGGAAATGATCCTTATGAAGTAAATGTGAGCTCCCGTCCCTCTCTTAGGAAGTGAGGAGGGAAGGAGGGGGGCACAACGCAAGGCGAGGAGCCAACAGAACCTCGTTCACTTCTGGAAACCAGCCGGCTTTCAGTCTGGAGCGTTCCACCTCGCCCCTCCCACTGGTGCACATTGTCCCTGCTGTCAGACAACGTGAGGGGCTGGGGCGGCAGTGTTCCCACTGCGTGGGGGCGGTTCTCCCTGGGACCCAGGTCCCCCGGTCTGTGGTACCCAGTGCCCAGACCACAGGCATTCCTGAATTGCCGCTGAGTACCCGCACCAGCTGCTCCCCTCAGCCTGCATCCAAAGCCCGTCAGGGACAGGTGCCCTGGGTCCCATCAGCTTTCATGGGGGAACGGCACCCACACCTCGTGCTTGGATGTCAGGACACACCTGTCAGACTTCTCCACGGTTTTTGTTCACTTGATGTGGGGCGGCATGTAGCACTTTCTCCTCCCTTCCTCCCTCCCTCCCCCTACCTTCCTCCTTCCTTCCTCCCTGCCTCGCTTCCTTCTTTCCTCCTTCCTTCTTTCCTTCCTCTCTTTTCTCCTTCCTTCCTTCCTCCCTTCCTTCCTTCCTTCCTTCCTTCCTTCCTTCCTTCCTCCCTTCCCCTTCCTTCCTCCCTTCCTTCCTTCTTTCCTTCTTCCTTTAACACAGGGACAACCTTTTGTAGCTTCATGAATCAGAATAAGATTTAGTTGGTCTTTCAGTAACAGGTAAATCTAAACTTCTGAGGTTCCTTACAAGACATCTTTCCGGGCCACACCCGCTGGCCTCCCTTGCTCCAGGGGCACTTGACCCTCCTCTCCCCCGCCCTCCCCCTCGGATCCTGGACGCAAGGATGTGGTGGTGCTCGGTGGCCACTAGTGACTGACGGGCAGAGCCTTACGCGGGGTGTCCCTTCCTACTGGCCGTGAAGAATAAGCTTACCATAGTAAATTGTCACAAAGGTCATAAAAGGTCACAAGTCTGAAGAGGTCGCTGCAGCTGGTACACTGCGGGCTGAGGGCGGGCACCATTGCACCTGATAAACGGAAGAAGGCATCCTCTTCCAGGCGTCACCCCGTTTCCCTTTCTTGCCCTCCTCGTAGGTATGAACAGCCGAAATGTGACAACACAGCCAGGGCTCACCCAACCAAAACCAGGGATCTGTACAAGGGCCGCCAGCTCCAAGGTGAGTAGAAGGGAAGGATTGCTTGAAGCGCATCCACCACAGCTCCGAGCTTGTTCGCAGGTCTAGGATGAGAAAGAATGTCTCCTGCTCTGTTGCCTGTGGCCAAGGGCCTTTGGGCGGTCCACCAGTGAGCCTCCTGCCAGGGCCCTGAGCTCAGCAGACGTGCAGGAGCCCCAGGGAGCACGCTCACGGCACGCGCAGGTCGTGTCACCTGTGGCCGCTACCCTGGAGGTGCCAAGCCTAAGAGCCACCATTTCAGAGAAGCAAACAATGCCCCCTAAAATCAGATCTTCTAAACCAAAAGGATCCTTTAATTCCTTTACCTAAAAGAAAGCAGTAATTCAAATGTCATTTTCTGGCATTCCTTTTGGATTGAATCAACAGTTCAAGGAGCCGAAGTCCAGGTTTTAACAAAACATGAGCTCAGTCTTTGTATCAAGTGAGTTTAATTACAAAGAAGTATTCCAAATTAAACAGAGGCAGTGAGTTTAATCTTATAATTATTAAAAGTGCGTTCACAAAAAATATTTTATGGATGTTGTCTTTCATCAAAAAAGCACATAAGTGTTTATGATACACCAAAAATGATTATTTCAACAGTTAAACCTAAAGCCTCTGGTGGACCCCACGTCCCTCCAGGAATTTACATGGGATTAAGAGTGGCGGCATCGAGCGTGGGGGCCTGGCCAGCAAGGTTCCCACAATTGGTTCATCTCGTGAGATCAAGGAGTTTAGAGACAGAGCTCTGACATCATGGGGTGAATTTGATGGCATCCGTAAGATGCTTCAAAGCCAGTCACTATTTCATTTTGGTTCCCTCTCTCTCTCTCTTTTTTTTTCTTTTAAATATCTCCAGATTGCATGTGTTTTTAGCCAATGCCCCAGAGACTGTGAAAATCATTCTCTAACGTCCTTAGCTCAGAGCACATGTTTGATCTTGGTCTTACACCAAGTTCGGATAAATTCCACTTGGAGAAATGTGGCTCTTGCTCTATTTGCATTAGTCTCGATAAAGAGGGTTTTAAATTCTAAGACATTTTCCTCTTTATGAACAAAGATAGAAATGACTAGGGTATCACCCAGACACGCACGTCTCTATCATTCAGCAACACTGGAAATGAAAGTAGCTAAGACAGAGGAAGAGGAAGAGCAGGATGAAGGCAACTCTCCTACCTAAAGATGACTCTACCTGTCACCTTCGGTGTTTCTGGGGTGTTCACAAGAGGGGCCGTCTCCCAGCTCCAGATCTCCTGTGACGTCCTTTCGATGCAGGCTCACGGGGTCTATGGGAGATGTGATTTTTGGGATTCTGTGGTCGACGTGTTCTGTGTTTCATGGACCGTTCTCCTTCCTGCCTCTTGGGATGGGGAGAGAGGGAAGGAGAGGTCATGTAGGTGCAACCACAAGCACCACGCGAATTCCTAGTTAAGCACCATTTGTATACATGATGTCTTACCCTGAGAAGGAGCTCAGTGCGAAGCCGAATTGCTCCCTGATGTTCTTGGACCAGACGGGAGTTCTCTCCCTCCATCATCTGATGGAGTCTCTTCCCTCTGAAGTCAGACTTTAACACTGGCGGATGAGATTTTTCTTCACAGGAAGTAATGAATCTAACAGGTGCGTGGTGCGTGGAGAGCCCTCTGTGAATGTTTGCCGTTTGTAGCTGGTCTTAATCTGTCGCATGAATGTCAAACAGTCCATTTTTTGCTAGGCGTCCAACACTCTTGACGTTTTCTTTTTGGACAATACAAAACTGCATTACTTCCAAGTCAAGCTCTGTGAGTTTTGCATTGTGACGTCCAGTCCATTTATTAACGTCCAGAGTAGCTTCTCGGTTTGTTAGTAAAAGGTGCTATGACAGGAGACAATCCTGTTTCCTCCTGGTGGTGGTGTCCCTGCCAGGAGGCTCTTTACATGATAGACCCAACCCGTTAAATACCAGACCCGGTTCTTGATGTAAGGGTGGGAATGGTCGTCGGCTCATGGGAGCGGCTGCTCATCCAGTTGAGAAACACGAGTGGCGTCTTGTGGGCTGGTCGGGCTGTCAGAGGTGAGGTCTGGTGGGCCAGGGAACATGTGGTGAGGAGTCACGATCCCGGCTGGAGAGTCTGCCCCTCGGTCCCCGTGGGAGGAGGATTATTCGGCTGTCCCTGCCGAGGTGCCCCTCCTCTCCCATCCCTTAAATAAAAACCAGAGTCTCCAGGCACACAAGCCACTTTTTGCAAACTGTATAATTGGTATAGCTTGGTACCATTCATGACCACTTCATCATTTTGATTTTTTGAAGATAGTTATCCTTATTAGGAAAGAAACAAGTAGGTCTTGAAGCGAGTCCAGGACAGAGACTGTTGGTGGTGGGGAGGAGGAGGCAGCCCGGTGGGCACACACTCAAGCCACACTTAGGCCGAAGCGTTTTCTTCTTAGAAGGTACAGTTTTCATCTTCAGCAGCTTTCTCAGTCCCGGCCAGTGAGGGCCCTTTACTTTCCAAGCCAAGCTGATACCTGTCTCATGAGCGGCCCCCTGGTTTGGAGGGTTCGTTGGCTGTCAGATGCCTTGCCCGCCCTCCGTGGGTTGGTTAGGACACTGCTCAGCCCTCACGAGATGACAGCGTCTTATTGTGGGGGGCATCAGCATTCCCCCAACAGGTCCCCTTTGAGAATGGGGTCATTATTTGGGCTCTTGGATTCCATGAGTTTCCCCTACAAGACCTGCCATGTGTCCTGACAGAGGTAAATTCCCAGGATGGTAGGAATTTTGAACAAAGACATTGAAGAACTACCTTTCCCGTCTATAAGTTTGCTGTGGTTCACTCTGTTCTGGTAAGCTCCAGCCTGCCCGTGCCCCCCTTGGGCCTCCTGGGGTCCAGCCTGCCTGTGTCCCCCTTGGGCCTCCTGGGGTCCAGCCTGCCCGTGACTCCCTCAGGTCTTCTAAGCTCCAGCCTGCCCATGTGCCCCTTGGGCCCCTGGGGCCCAGCCTACCCGTGTTCCGCTCGGGCCCCCTGAGGTCCAGCCTCTGCCCGTGACTCTGGGCCTCCCAAGGCCTCTCACCTCTGTGGGAGAGCAGTGGCGAGCTTCAGGTTTTTCCATTCCCTTGGGGTCTCCCCATTCTTGTGTGGCCGCCAGGACTCAGCTTCTTAGGGAGACTGTCCCGGGCTCCTGTCTGCTGGACAGGGTTCACGGTACGTGTTCACGGGGCATCTGGGGTACACGGACTGTGTGCTGGTGTCGCTTACCCTCATGTCCTCCAAGAGGTGGCCCCGAGCCGTCCGGGGTCCCACCAGCTGGCATGGACCTCGCAGGAGGCACTCCCATGCTGAAAAGAGCTTGTCAATGAAGGACACTAGGCCATGTTTCTTTTCATACTCAAAGCCTCTTGGCTGCTCTGTCCTGAGGGATATTGTGGAATTAGCCCAGCAGGTGGTTTTGCTGATTGGAAGGTGTGTGGTGTGAGTGTCTGATACCTGGGGTGTAACGTGGGGGGAGGATGGCCCGATGGATAGAATCCATTATTCTGGCTGGACCCCTGAGTCCTGGCCAACCGGTAAAGGGAAGAAGTATACCTTCTGCTCCTGCGAGCATGAGGAGATGCACAGACCCACCCCGTGCCCCCTGAGACCCCCAGAGGTCATGCCTGCACCGGCTGCAGGGATGAGATGCAGGTAAAGCAGAGGCGAACAGAGGTGTAGCACCTGCCAGCGATGGGGGTCCCTCCCTTCAAAGACCTCCAAGAGCAGGGGAAGCCACAATTCAGGGTCTTTTCAAGTCTACAGAGACAAAAATCTCCTTTCTTAAAGTCCCCAGTGATTGCAGGTATAATGGGATCTCGGATTCCGTTAGAGACCTTAAAAGCACCCTGCCTGCATTTTTCGAGTAATATTTTTTTAAAGATTTTTTAAAAATTTATTTATTTATTCATGAGAGGCAGAGACACAAGCAGAGGGAGAAGCAGGCTGCATGCAGGGAACCCAATGAAGGACTCGATCCTGGGCCTCTGGGATCACACCCTGAGCCTAAGGCAGATGCTCAACCACTGAGCCCTCAGACATCCCTCAAGCAATATTTTAGCCCTACTCTATTTTTTTAAATTATGATTTTCTAAAGTAGCATAAAATGATCCTTACCTTGCCCTGAGCATAGCACAAGATATTTTTCAAAAAGTAATTAGACCCTCTAGATCTATACTTGTTACAAATGACAAGACATCATCCTTTTTATGGTTGGGTAATATTCCACTGTGTGTGTGTGTGTGTGTGTGTGTGTGTGTTTGAGTGCACGCATGTGCACACATGCAGACGTACCTCTTCTTCACCTATTTGTCTGTGTATGGACACAGGCTGCTTCCATGTCTTGGCTATTGTAGATAATGTGGCAATAAAATAGGGGTGCAGGTATCTTTTCAAATTAGTGTTTTAGTGTTTTCATTTTGTTTGAGTAAATCCCTAGTAGTGCAATTGCTGGGTCATAGTTCTGTTAACTTTCTGAGGACCCTCCACACTCTTCTCCAGAGGGGCTGCACCCATTTGCATTCCCACTAGCAGTACACAAGGGTTCCCCTTTCTCTGCATCCTCGCCAAAACTCGAGCATCTTTCCTTGTGTCTGTTGGCTGTCTGTATGTCTTCTTTGGAAAAATGTCTGTTCAGGTCCTTTGCCCACTTTTAATCATATTATTTGTTTCTCTGGTGTTGACTTGTATAAGTTCTTTATATATTTATGATGCTGAGTGAAATAAGAGAGACAGAGAATGACAAATACCATATGATTTCACTCATATGTGGAATTGAAGAAACAAGACAAAGAAAAGAAGAGACCAACAGAAAAGCAGACTTGAGCGCGGAGAAGAGTCTGGTCACCAGAGCAGAGGTGAGTGGGGGTGGGTAAAGTAGATAAAAGGATGGAGAGGCACCAACTTCCAGTACCAAATACATAAGTGATGAGGATGAGAAGTACAGCATAGTGAGTGTCGGCAGTAAACCTGTAACAGTTTACAGGACAGACGGTG